GACAAGGAGAAAAAAACAAAACAAAACAGGAGTACAAGGAAAAAAATGCAAGCAAAGCTTTTGTAAATGAGGGAAAAAACACTAAACGGAGAAAAAAGCAATTAAAATATATTTTAATGTTATGTACACTACAAATTCCTTAAAACAAATGTAATGAATATGTATGACAAATATGTATTAATAAAAGATGTAAAATGAAAATAATCTAATTTATCTAGAAATTAATATTTAGTGTTTTATGATTTAGAACGATTTAAAACAAAAGTTACATAAAAATAATATAAAAAAATTTAAAGACAGGGCCTCACTATATATTTTGAGTGCATTTTACACGTGTATATATAATGTATATGTATCTTTAGTGAAATAAATCAGACACAAGATTTTCGAATCAAGCAGTTAATTGGAAGGATTTTTCACCCTGACTAACTATATATACTGACACCTGTGAAATAAGCAACTGCACTGAAGATGGCAATTTGTAATAGTAGGTTCATGCTTAGAGTGCCTGTCATTCTGGTCTTCTGAATACACGCTGCTTGTCATAACACGCCAGTTGCTGCCATGCTGTCTCTCGGGTAGATGATTGTTTAAAAAGGAAGGGGGTGGTGAATGAAGGCAGGAGACAGGAAAAGTAGTGATGTGGGACTGTACTCCAACGATGTTGTATATGGTTAGATTTCTGGACTTATGTGTAAACATATATAATTCTTTATTGCTACTTTTTAAATATAGTTTAATTTTCTAAATTTTTTGTCATATTCTGTAGGGACTTAAAGTTTAACATGTCAATACTTGATGAAAAACACCTGTTCCATGTTATGCCTAAGATGTTTGATATTCAGACAGATAGTGAGGTTAAGCTCAACAGCCTAGGTTATATGGTAATACCAATAAGCTTCTCTTCTGGAGGGTTAACAACCTAAGTTTGAAGACCAAAAATTAGAGAAAAAGGAGGGCCACAAGGAAAGCCAACATTTTGGCCCTAGCCTTCCAAGATCAATTAAGACTCAGGACATATGAGAACTTGTACTGTATCATCATATAACTCAGTTGTGTCCCAAATTTTCTGATCAAGGAGATTAAGGGGCCAAAGAGGAAAGTGATCGATGATATAGAGTGTGCCTAAGGAGAGTCACATGGAGAGAAAATAATCAGGCTTTCACAGAGAGCACATTGGCCAAGCAATGGCCTTGACTCATCCATATGGCTGACACTGATGAAGGATCTGCAATCTGAGGTACAGGGTCTTGGGATAAATCCTGAGGGGATTTGACTGACCTCATCAGATTCAAAAGCTACAATTCTTGTTACATAATTCTTGCTTTATCTTGGCCTTAACCATCCAGCAGAAAAGTATAAAAACAAAGTACAAGAAATAAAGCCATGTTGTTATGTTGAGCTGTAGGGGACTCAGGTCAACAACTTCTGACATGGCCTGTCAAGTGGAAGACCCAATAGTATTATGGACTATTGGACTATTTTGGAATATTTTGCTGAGTTCACACACCTATAATATTTAAATGATGGAACTAAACCAAAAAAGGGGATATAGATGAACAACCATTTTGTATCTGTGTATTCAAAATGGTTAGGATAGCTATATAGCTACATTCTCTTAATTCAAGGAATAGAGTGATTTTTTCTAATAGTGTTTGTAAATAGGATATCATGCCTGCATCTTGTACAACAAATAACCACTAGGAAGGCAGTATGCAATATATTAATTATTGGAACTGTCCTACCAATTTGATTTGAAACTGTCTCATTGCTATTTATTTCTCAATAAAATTATGGAAAAAAATAAATCAGACACACAAGCTTAAGCATTACATGATTTCTCTTTTAGGAGACCTAAAATATAGATAAGTTAAAGAGCATAATAAAAAAGTAGAAAATAGGGAGATCTTTTGCAAAATGGAAGGAGACCAAAACACAGAGGAAAAGGAAGAAAAAAAAAAGTAGCTTGGGCTGGCCTTGTACAGAGGGGCACTCCTCCTGTTTCACCTTCCCAAACACTGGGATTATAGACATGTACCACCATTGGAGACATGCCCCTCTACTTGTTTTCTTTTAAAAAATGAGACTTATGAATATAAATTTTAATGGTTTTAAAAATTAATGTTTCATTATCTTCATTAAAGGAATCAAGCACCTTATATTTACTGGATTAAATCTTATTCCAAGATTGAATTACACACCATAATACTTATATCTTTCTTCCCAGATACAATATCACTTTATTTATATGTTACTTGTCAACTGTTCTGAAAGACAGAATGAGACATGTTTTTAAAAGTGCAGATTCTCAAATTAGTCAATTACTCCTTTTTTTTTGAAATTATAAACTATTTTATCTATATAAAACATACATAGTCATATGACTAATACCTACATATTTGCTAAACATTAAAAATACACTCTAAGATTCTATGTGACCTCCTTAATCATTTTCCTTCCACTCCTTAGAGAAGACTATTAGGTACTTAAAAATTACTATCAGGATATGTTCAGAAACAATGTCCTTCCTGGTGAATTCTACCGATCATTTAAAGAACATCAATTTTTCTCAAGCACTTCCAAAAAATTGAAGAGGATGAGACTGTTTCTACAGTTTCAGGTCAGCATTACTCTGGGGTGCCAAAGCCAGACAATGATACCATGAAAAAAGAGAACATACTTAGAAAATTTTCAACAGATTTCTAGCAAATTACATTCTTCATGCTGACATAAGCAATGATATTTTAAATATCACCACAAAAACAGAGACAATGAAAGGGAAAATAGACAAATGTGATTATTTCAAAAATAAAAAGCTTCTACCAGAAAAGGAAATAACAAATAGAGTGAAAAGAAAATATTCAGAGTGTAGGAACATGCTTTCAAATGATAAATCTGATAAGGTACTAAAGAAACTCAATTTAATTCAATTAAAAATGGATGAAAGACTCAAACAGATACATCTAGAGCGGGACACCAAGACCCGTCGTGATGGTGCATGCCTGTAATCCCAGCTCAGGGGAGGCTGAAAACAGGAGGATCACTATGAGTCCAATCTGTGCAGTGAAACCCTGTACTAAATACATTAAAAAAAAAAAAAAAACACATACAAGAAATTGACATATATAAAAATAAAATGATGCTCAAAATCATTAATCACTAGAGAAGTTTGACTGAGCTTTGTCTTTTCTATTCCTTTACCCCCAAGACAGTATCCAAAAGATGGAGCACTTGTTACAAGTGCCTATCAACTTATAAATAAAACTTAAAATAGCTTATCTTCCACAAGTAGATTCTTCTACAACTGAACTCATGTATTATCTTAGGAAGATTTACAATATTGTTTAAAATTTTCTCTTATTTATTTATTTATTTATTTATTTATACGTGATACTAGGAATTGAACCTAAGGCTTTTGCACTGAGCCACTTTTTAATTTTTTATTTAAGACTTAATCTATTTAGGTCAAATTTTCACTAAGTTGCTCAGATGGCTGGGCTGGACTTGAACTTACAGTGCTGCCTCAGCCAAATCTATGTGGATGTCCATTCATTAAAAAAGACTTAGCCATTGGAGATAAATAAACATTTCACTAATAAATGCTTCTTGGCAAGTAAACAAAAGGAAGCTAGTTAGTAATGGTTGAAACACTCCAGGAAAGAATGGGCTATTAATTGATAGCATGGTTAAACTGTACAATAGATAGTAGGGCTTCACTAAATAAAAAATGAGAAAAATGAGCAATATCTAAGCTTGTGTACCTCATTTACTTCACTTAACATTAGGGTCCCCAGGTGCATCTGATTTATTACAACTTTTCTTTACTCATTCATCTGTTGATGGATATATAATCCATTTCTAAGATTTAGCTATTGTAAATTGTGTGGCTAAAATAAGGGATTGCAGGAATCTCTGTAATATAGTCTTTAGTGAAATAAACCAGACACACAAGCTCAAACATCACATGATTTCTCTTATAAGACACCAAAATATAGACAAATAAAAGAGCAAATTTTTAAAAAGTAGAAAATAAGGAGATCTTTTGCAAAAGGGAAGGGGACCAAGACACAAAAGAAAGGAACAAAAGTAGACAATGATAAAAAGAAA